ACTCATTCCATGACGTTGGTACACTCTCTAGTTCCCAAACCTTTGTAAACAACGTCGTCAATTCCTTAGTCAGAAAGTCACCACCATCTTTAAAAAGAGCCGGAGGTAAGTCATCTGGGCCAGGTGATATGTAACGCTTCAAGAGTTGGAGTTCCTTGCGGACTTCCGTCTCATTTGGTGGATCAGTCGTTACCGGCCATGAAGGGCAGGACAGTTTGGCCGATGTTGCCAGAGTCTTGAATACGGATCTCGGATAGACAACAAACATCGATATTAAGACTCTATCAAGAATTACGTCCTAAGCATACCCATGAAAGATTTCATTTGCGTAAAAACTACTCATTTGAATTCATGAGAAACTGTTTGACGAATACGTTGTGTTTAGAACACAACAGCAAACCTAATGATACAGCATACTTATAACGTATCCACTGACATTTTAGATGAAACGAACTGACTCAGTAGGGTGACTCCCTTCGAAGTTTTTTAACGATTCAACGTCACGATCAATCGAATTCCAAATACACTGAGAACTCTCCAATAAAAGGAATGATCACATAATTGATAAAGCGAAATGTTTCAATTTTCTATTTTTCAAAAAAGGACTACCCTCTAGTGGTCATTGGAATCTTCATTGAACAGGGAACACCATTCATCGAAAGATTCTTTGAACGAATAGCAGCTTTATCCTACCCAAAGTCCAGGCTTCATGTAGTCGGTCATATGGCGGTAAGTAAGACAACAATTAAATGTTTGTCGCCTAAACCCTTATGTATGTTTTATTTCCTACAAATTTAGGACATATTTTACCCGTATTTTACATTGCATATATTTCTCACCAGGTAAATTATTTGAAGTGTATAAAATAAAAGCCAAGTTAAAATGTCATTGTCCTGTTTGTGAGTGACCGAACAGGTGGCATTCATGATGCCATTAGAAATAAAGACATCTCCATTCTTCTACTGAATTCCTACCTAATTTGGGATAAGCGGCTAAGGCATTAGAAAACACATGACTACGCAAGCCATCTGTTTTGCAGAAACATGTGTCAAGATGAATCATACTGGACAAAATTTAATGCCTACATAAAATCTACGTGAGCGTCCTGCTCTACTGAACACAGCCTTGATTTGTAGAACCATCTCGGTTCTAAGTTATGGATACATTCCCTTGACAATAATTGATTACAGTTATTCCGAATGACAGCACTGAAGGTGATTTCCGGATGCACATTTAATACAAGCTTGGATGCTAACATGCAGACTACATTGAATGTACGAAACCGCAGTTTGAACTCAATTAACGCCTTAGAAAGAGTATTCAAACTAAATGGATCACTGTACATGGCCCACCATGGTAAGTAGAACTACGATAGTTTAAAGATCACCATGAAGTTTGAGACAAAATCGACTGATGGTCTAGTTACACCTAAATTATTCATATTTTCTTGATAGGAGAACAGTAAATTTCAATCTTCAGTAGCGGAGTCGTTCAACCAAACTTTTGGACATCAATACTTTGCAGTCAGCTGGCTTGAGGAAAATCTAGATGAAGAAATTGCAAGAAAGAAAGTATTGTAAGTTTCCCATCTAATTGTGTGACTTATTGGTACTTTATTTTCAGCGGATATTGTTTAGCAATTGAAGATTGTAAATACGTGTTTGCAGTAGACAGCATTGCTCAACTGGACAATCCAGAAACCCTAAGTCATTTGGTTAAAATGAACCGTTCGATAATCGCACCTTTGTTAACTATAAGAGGAAAAGCTTGGTCGAACTTCTGGGGAGCGTTAGATGCTGATGGGTTTTACGCTAGGTCTAGTGACTATATGGATATAATACATTACAATATAACGTAAGTTGAGAAGAAATACTAGGCATTTTTGAATCAACTTTCGTAAGATATTAACGGTCTCGATTTTCAGAGGGATTTGGAATGTTCCCCTGGTTAGGAGTGCCTACTTAATATCGCGATGGGCAGTACGTAAGCTGATCGATGTCAGTAACAGCGAAATGAACTTTGCATATGAAGCAAGAAATAAGGTAAGCATCTAAAATAGATTGTTTTATAATTATGTGAAGGAATTAAAGTTAATTGTTGCAGTATAATTAGCATTTCTAACATACAACCGTTAAGTGCATGCAAACTTTTTCAAGCATTATGTACAAAAGGTGTTCTGATAGACTGTATTGTGAGCGGCATACTTTTATTTCTAGCAGAACACAATGTGTGAAACACACAAGAAATTATATTTTGCGTTTCACACTTGGATTTGGGAAATTTCAGAGGAAACACTTCTCAGCCTACGGCTATACTAACTGAACAATTAATGCAATTATACAGGATATTTTCGATGTTTATACGAAGAACCTAAGGAACTGAAAAGAGAGTACCAAGACTAGTGATAAAATCTTGTCAAACAAGTGTACTCATAAAGATGTGTTTCTTAGAGTGCCTATTTTTTCCGTTTGAGTTGATCAAATACAGTAATTAGTTTTAACATAAACTTTACACACAATTGATAGTTCTGAATTAAATTCGCTGCAAACAAACTTACTAATATATTTATAACATCTTCAAAACTATGTAACCCTATACTAATAGCGGTATATACACATGTTCACTTATGAATTACCAGTACTGCAACGACGCGATTTTCCACTCACAAGTTTTGCATACATGTCGAATCGTACTACGAAAAATGAAAGGGAATTTATGGAATTACAATTAACTTCCTTTAATATTTGTTTTAGAATGTTTTTATGTTCGTTGATAACCAAATGAACTTCGGATATCTGATCGACGCCAAAAACTATACGAAAGGTAAACTGCACAACGACTTATGGCAAACGATGGAAAATCCTCAGGTAAGTCTGGAAACCCAGCATGTTTATTATTTCTACTTTGAAATATGCTTCATTAGTCACCAAAAAGGAGTTCATCATTCGTACAAGTTATATTTGAATTTTTAGACGTTTAATTACATAAAAAAACCAGTAACATGTTAGAGTTACATAAAGTACACGAATTCGCTTCAGTAGATGAGTTTTTTCGTAATTAAGATTGCATGTATAAGCACTTTCAGGAGCAACAAGGGACTAAAAACAGATCTACAAAAGAAAAACATTCCGATAGAAATCAGCGCAGCCCTGTCTGCGCATTATCAGAATCAACAGCCAAACAATTATTGTTATAAACTGCGTAGATAAACAAAGATGACAACTGTTTCAATTTGTAAGCATATATTACCGTCAGGAATTGTGATTAATAACTACTATAAACATTGTACCTACACTTTCCTAATAACACGAAATTGACTTTAAACAGGACTGGGAAGAAAAATACATACACCCGCAATACTTCAACTTTGCGAAACCTGAAGTGACAATGACAGATATTGCTCAGCCATGCCCAGACGTATTTTGGTTTCCTTTAGTATCAGAAACTTTCTGCAAGCATCTTATCGAAGAAGTAGAAAACTATGGACAATGGTCTACAGGCGATAACTATGACCCACGATTGGAAGGAGGATACGAAAATGTACCAACAAGAGATATTCACATGCGCCAAATTGGTTGGGAGGAGCACTGGCTGCATGTTCTAGAAAAATACGTCCATAAGATGCAAAAGAAACTTTTCCAAGGGTATGACGATAAGGTAGGTACTCTCCAGTATGAGATGATGCACCCATCTAATGTCTGATAATAATTGATTTTGTCTGTACATCATTGTAGCCATGGGCCCGTATGAATTTTGTCGTCAGATACAAACCAGACGAACAACCTTCCTTGAGACCTCATCACGATGCATCTTCTTACACAATTAATATTGGACTAAACCAGCCTGGGAAAGACTACAAGGTGAGTAATTCTTGACGGCAGTAAAACGCCTATTAGAGCAGAGAATTAAACTCATTCCTTTCATTTACAGGGAGGTGGGATACGTTACAATCGATATAACTGCTCAATCGTCAATACACGTGTTGGGTGGGCAGTAGTTAGTCCAGGAAGAGTGACTCATCTACACGAAGGACTGGCAACGACAGAAGGGACACGATACATTTTTGTTACCTTTGTCAATCCCTAACTTTGTCGCCTTTGTACGTATTTGTTTGGAATATTACATTTAATGGTAATAAAAGCCTTGCTTTGATGATTGCATGCATTACAGTAATAACCCAAAAAGTTGTAACTGTCTTAACTACGCATATCTCGAATAGCTAAAAAAGACAAACTGATAAACTTACGATCAATCGTTTCATGTTCAAACATTTTCTTATTAGTGGACGGATTTCCGAATGAAATTCACAATACAGTTGCATACTGTCTTAGTACAAATTTCGAATAGTAATTTTATTTCTCTTATTCAATTCAAGCTGCCGCAATCCTGAAACTACAAATTCAAGGTTTCTTGAGATGCGAATGATTTCAGGTAGAATGCACCTAGACATTCCCACTAGCTTTCAGAAAATTCAAAGCTCACATACATTGCGATCGACAATGACTTACAACACCTGTTTTCACGAAAATTCAAAGCGCCATGACGCTACGTAAGAGTCGATTACGTCAAAACAAACGAAGCTGTCGAGCTGAGTATAGTTTCGTTAAATATATTCAGTTGGAGCGAACCACCTAAATATCCGGTGAAAAGATGACTGATTTCAGTAACAGCGTTCAGGTCTTGCCGAATTCTCAGTACTTCGTAATTTATTTTCTTTGTCCACATAAAATTATTTCGGAATTACTTCATGTCAATTCTCCATTTTCATTACTCCTCTGTATAATTTCTTAACATTAGAGTATTCTATTTTCTTATTTGCCATTCATACAACTGTAAAAGAAAGACAAAATGAATCATAATTCTTGACTATATATTTATTTTGTATCATATGTGAGTGAACAGATGGAGGAATTGTATTACAGACAAGTGATGAAACAGTCGCACACTGAAGCAGAAATGCATCTCAGTAAAAATGGGTTTAACACAAATGTTGTCAGTGTTTAGTAACGCCCTGAAGGAAAACATCAGGTTAAAATGCAGCGCTACTTACGATCATAGCTACGCGAACGAGACCTTGAACGAGAATAACGTCCACGTGGAGAAATACTTCGTCTCCGAGGAATAGGGCGTCTAAAAAAGGATCGAAAGCTAACTTATTCCTGAAAGATAATAACCACTAGCATGGTAACATAAATTGAAAAAAACAATTAACGAAAACGGACAACTGCATGATTTGAGAACCACTAAAGAAAAATAATCATGAACACGGAAAAATTGTTGTGAAATCAATTAAATGAAAAGGAATCTCTGATAAGGTTAAGCACCTAGAATAGTGAAATTATTTCCTGAGTTACTCCATAGAATCGGAAAATGAGGAACTGAAATGCAGATAGGCTTTACAAAAGACGATGTTATCTAAGCTTGGGATATTTTAAAATACAAAGAAAACCACTAGAAATACGCATTATTTGCACCCACAATAAAGGTATTTAGAATTAAATTGGAAAATGTGTAGCAAAACGCGATCGCCCTACTTAAACTGTCTCAAACGTTTTAAAGTACCATATAATAAAATAAAATACTTAGAGAGAATGAAGATGCAAAGATAAAAATAGGAATAAACTAAGTTGCGGAAATAATTGAATTTTAATGAAATCATGAACCGACGAATCTTAGAACACCACTGAAAGTCTGGAAATCTAAACGGTTTTTGTTCAAAATTATATGACAAATATACGGAAATTATAGAACCTAGATGAGTACCTACCTAGATGGTCGCCCCATATATATGCCGGGAGTAGGCGAATGTGGTCGTTCGGTTATGCTGAAATCACACCTAATAGGTCGTCCATCAATTTCCATTCCATGCGCATCGGCCTTTGCAGCTTTTGCGTCAGCGACGTGAGTGAAATATACAAAACCAAATCCACGAGAGCGACCTAAAGATTACATAAAGAAGAGCTAACAAACCTGTGTAGTTATCGAAGACTAATTGAACATCTTCAATATTTCCATACTGCGAAAAAATATCGTAAAGGTTTCTTTCTTGGGTATGAAGGGATAAACCGAAGACACCAAGACACCTGGAAGGGGTAGGATTTTCTCGCGGCCCAAGAAACCTCCTGAAATGAAATAACAGAGCAAGACTAGTGTCTGAAACCTTATGACAAGAATAATATTAAACTACCGAGTAATAGACCGACTTTTTTAGTCATACTGCATGAGTTGTCTCGAAGACACTTACCATGAAAAACATGCAAATGACAGGTCTCATACGTTCACACGCAATTTGTCTTTTATCTACGGAGAAATACAGTAAGTTGCTGTGTAGTATGGATGCCAGAAAGTGACCAAAACAGTCGTCAGACAAACTCAACATGGGTTGATGAGATTTCCTAGAACAATTAAGAGGTTACAACGTATTGACATTAGTTTGTTTATAACGGGATTGAGGCATGTAGGCGTATGCAGACTGGGCAGTTCTGTCCGCATAATTATCGTGACTACTGATCTAGATTTCGTATATTTTAAGGTCTTTTCTACTACCAATCGCATTAGTTTGAGAATTGTTTCCATAGTATAATCTTGGTATACTAATTTGATGTAACACACACTCCAGGTTTCACAATAAGGCTGACTAATAGATAAACATAATTACTTATTCATAGGTAAAATTGCAAACATCATCTCGAAATGGTATGCTTTAGTCAAATATCTCGAGTTTGAGTACCGCTATAACGCTTAAGCGAATGTAGAATAAAGTGATTAGTGTGCAAAGGCTAGCAAGGACAATAACATATAACAATACTGACTGACAGTTAGAAGACGTGGAATGTTACGACTTTAAAAATATTGTTAGATAAACTGGGATGAGAACCACGTTAAGGAAAATCACTGAATTGGGAGTATAATTTATGGACGATGTTTGAGCAACGCTTGTGAGTGTACACCGACCGATTAGGACCGAGGGTAAAAAGCAATTAAAATCGTCATTTACTATTGATTGCTCGATTAAAAAGTTGGATTACGGGTTTTCTTCACGAATTGAAACCACCTATGATGCCAAAACTCTACTTAGTCCAATGTATGAAAGAATTTTGCCCAAGAAATTGCGACTTGTTATTTTATATCTGACTGATTCGTTCACAAATGATGGTCTCGCCGGTTTTCCTTGTGAATCCCGAAATTGGAAAATCATAGTTTTGAACTATGATAGAGATAAATTCTTGTGTTGATTTGCTAGTGATTCTGGGCGTAACATGATTAACTTCTCAAAATAGGTAACGCATATATACACACAAGTAATTATAAACTCATTAATAGTATCATAGGAAGTCAACTGACCGGACCAGTGTGCCATCTGGAAAAGGATTTACACTGCTGTAGGGTATGGCTGTTGACTTCAATAAGCTGACTACTGTCGCGAGTTTGGTACAGTTGGAACAACGACTTGGCGAGTCCGAAATTGACAAAAGAGAATTTATGAGCAGGTTTAAGATGGATGATGGGGAATCGGTAAACTACATGAATTTTGGTCTAACTGTTACAGAATTACAAGAAAATTATGTAAAATGGGTGTACATGTATGAGATGTGAAATAACATGCTTCGAAGGATGTAAGACTTACTTTCGGCCGGAACTTCTATATCCGTAGCCAGGGCTGCGACGATAAAAGTCACGACTTCCGCTGCGACTCCTGTAGCGACGCGAGTGTGATCTGAAATACGCTTGCACGCAATATCAACTCACTTGGAACGAGATCGAGACCGACTGTATCGACGACTCCTGGGTGATACGCTGTTTCTATAACCGTTTGAAGTAATTGGCGAGTCTGTCCTACGCATGACGACCAAGAGACTACTGAACTTTAAGTGGACCGCCGGTAACTAGGATAACAGTCATTTCAAACAAGCTAACCCCGTGGAAAACGTTAAACGAGTAGTGCTGGGATGTGTATCAAAATTCAGTTTCAAATGTTCACTCTTTATTGATTATGAGCGTTTTCAATATAATGCGTTTCGCGCAGCAAATAAAGTTTTACGCGCGATCAGAAGTCAGTTCGTTTTCTGTTTTTAATTCATTATAATCAGAGTATATATTTTGATGTTGTGGAATGAAACAGGCTTTAAAATGCATTGTGACATCTATCTGATTTCGTATTTTGCATATCTCTGTCTAAAAAATTTTAATCCGTGCTAAAGCTTTACTAGTTTTTAAATACGATTTTCTACAAACTAGAATGCTCTGTGAAATAAAAAAAAAACTAGCAGTGCGATATTGTGAACACCTGCCTCCCGCATATGATTCATCTTCGTCTAGTTTCTTGTGAACATTACCTGGCATTTTTGTTTCAAAAAAGCTGGTTTTATGGCTATTGGTGCTTCCTCGATATCACTAAACACTTCAGCCTTTCGATATGAGAAGTTTTACTGGCTAAGGCGCAGTCTTCGGTATTTAGTATTGTAGATCAAACGGTTCATACTTTTTCTCGCATTTTTAGTGATGCGATAATCCAATCACAACTTTTGGATGTATCAGCAATGTTTCGCCACAATTATTCACGTATATTTCACGACAGATGACCTTGTTAGGATTAATTTCTGGCATCAACCTATCAGTCCTCTGAACAAGTGAATTCGGGTCCTGTAATATTATCCTTTCGGTTATGCACTATATAGATCTCCAAATACTGATATTTATAACTAGAGAATAGAACAGATCACTTTGTTAAGTCATTTGCTTTAAGGAATTTTGCTTTTATATAGTCGTGATGTTGAAAAGGCTCTATTTGTACATAGCTGTTGCCCCCAGCCATGTCATTGAGAAACTCACTTATTCAGTTACTAATTGATCACAAAATTTTCCGGTTTTAATTTGAGACCTAGGTGAGAGACAGTCGAAACTCAGTCAGTCATTCAGCTGCCATGTAGGATCAGGCACGTATGCGTCGGTCCAAGTTGCCACACCTTATTAGCACAAGATGAACACGAAATTTATAGAAGTAGTTACTTCAGTAATAAGGATGGGTCTATCGACCTATATTGATCCTTGCAGTTTATAACACTGTGGAGGCCCACTCCCGTTTTGAATATATCAACAAAAGGTGCTACTACTACTTGTCCCGGCAGAGACTTTCAGTAATTCACTACTCAGTGCGAGAAACGAAACTCCAGACGTAGACGATTTGATCTCAGCTTTCGAACATTCTTCGAATGTCCTATCAAATGATCAGTCTCATACGGAAGAAAACGATAAGACGTTAATACCAAAGTCATCGTTCAGTATATGATGAGCCAATATTAGATCGCCCCGTATTCTACGGTAAGATAACGGAAATAAGTTAAGGTATCTCAGTCTGTCTTCATAAGATTGGCCATTTTAGTCCCTCGTCAATGGACTCGTTCCAGCATACCCGCCTTATACTTGAAACGAAGACTCGCTGCTTGAATCCCATATTCTAAATGTGGTTGCACGAAAGTCTGGTTTAATAATCCAAACATTTCATCCAAATACTGGAAAGACCTATGAATAGACCATAATGCACCACAGACATCTGCAGCAGCAGCCTCACCACAATCTTGTTAGGATTCACTTCTAGTGACCACGCATACATCCATGCCTCCAATGAGTTGAGATCATCCTGTAATACTATTCTATATGACATGCTGTGTATGGCTCTCTGTGAAGTAATATATAAAAAATATTGCATATAAGGACATGATACAGGGAGAAAGAATTAGTTCGTACAAAGAAAGGCATTGAGCAATTTTAATTTCACAGGTAACAGGAACACAGAAAGTATGTACACCTACGACGCCATTGTGATCGATTCTAAGCCATGTCACCCACAGTCTCCAACCATTGGTTACGATAGTCACGTGGGCCACAACCAAGTCGTATCCATCTACAAACATGGCTCAGACCAGAAGTTGGTGACTCCAAGCACTGATGCCCCATTTTGGTTTGGCCGACCCTAACTTTCTCCCAACCATCCCCAACACCGGTTAGCATTACACGTCGTGGTAATCGGTGTTCAGGCATACGCAACACGTGGCCCAACCATCTCAGTCAATGAAGATTCACAACCTCATCAACTGATTCATCATCATTCCCTAATACGCTGTGTCTAACCTTACTATTACTTACCCAGTGATCCCAGCAATATTTATAAGGCATCTGTGGTCAACCACTAGTAACTTACGAGTATCCTCTACCCTTAATGGTCACGCTTCGCAGCCTTAAAGTAGAACGGAAAGAACTGCTGCGCATTATACCCGTTCTTTAATTGATAAAAGGATATCTCGCCTTCGACATAGGTGACGTAAGTTGGCGATAGCCAAACGAGCTTTTCGAATCAACCCATCATGGCGGACAGACTTCAAAGTGAGGTTGTCAACGCGTTCGACTACTTCACTACGTATCCTTAGTTGATGCAGACCAGTCCTGAAGCAACAATTTGCATTTAGAGGGAGAGAAGCGCATTCCAATTATTCTGGCATTGTTGCTTAGTTCTAACAAAAGACTGCATTTTATCAGCGTCCTCACCAAACAGGACTATGTCATCTGCGTATTGTAAGTCGTTGAGTGAACCTCCTGGAATGAGATCAATCCCTAAAAATTCAGTCAACAAAAACGTTGTTGTCAAACGACATTTAAAACTGAATAAATACTAGATTACAATGCACCAGTATAGTAACTTTAATATTTGCATGCTAGCTTCAAAATTGTTTTTAGCAAACACATTCCAGTTCCACTGTCACTAAAATTCCAATCAGCTTTGCCATTCAGAATATAATGAGTAGGTTAACAAAAATAACGGGACTGTTTAACATTATTGAAAAATAACCTAGACTATGGAACTAAATCTTAAGCGATTTTTTGCGTACATATCGTGATAGCTTTCACTCATCAGCTAATCATACCATTCATTAATAATTTGAACAACGAATTCGCTTTCTCGCACGACATGCTTGTACTTTCTGTTTTCGTTGGACGTTATTGTTAGCTGGGGTTAAATGTATTATTATATGATAACTTGATTATCATAAACCTTAAGTTAGCACATTAATATTAGAATTGCGCAAAACTAGCGTATTTCACTCTTCATCACCTGGTCTAAATAACCTCTTTTTCTAATTTTTTTAGGTCTGAATTTAGGAAAAATATTAACTTGTGGAAAATCGTATCCCGCTCAGCTTCATTGTCAACATGTTCATTCTATAAATTTGAATTATTTGAATAAACTTTTTCTGGGCTGTTTTTTTGAGAGTACCGACCGCAACGCTAAAAAAAGGAAGCGTGGACAAAGAATCACGGTTGCTGTTTTTTGGAAGAGATCACTCCAGTCAATACACACTCTTAGATTGTTATCGGTGTAGCATTAGTTTCTCTGAAGACAATCAGTTCAATTGGATTGCTAATTTTTCGAAGGTCAAGTTAAACTGTACATTCTCGAAAAACTAACTAGATGCTGTTCTGTCACTTATCGCGACATTTTCTTGGGTCTTTTGGCAGACGTTCCTTTTCCAAAATATCATTTTGCTATTTCTTGAAGTGGGATCCTTGTATAACGTTTCAACAAAAAATTACTATACACGGTCCTTACCGTAATCGTTACACTCATTACAAAAATGCATATCCTAGAAAACTAGAAACTTATTACGACGTATACTACTTTGGCGCTTTAACGTGTGTACTTTTACTATTTATTTCTGTAGGGTAAGCTTGCATGCATTTTTAATTATTTTTCAGCTTCCCTTATTTAGAACGGAAGGCTTATAAGTCCAATAATGACAATGGTGCGAAAAAGAAGGTGTGTCAACTCTTTATTGAGTTAACTTATTTCAGGTATGTAATGTGACAAATGCCAAATGTCAGTCAGAGGTTTCTGACACAGATGAGGAACAGCTACATCAAAACGACTCTGTAAGAAAAAAACATGCTGGATTTAGAGACAGGAAGGTACTTAATAACTTTCGTCAACCGTATTTTATTCGGTTAATAAACCTGCGTAACTTTAAGGTGGCTTATTATATTTTCTGTGTTCATGTTCATTCTATTCATCTGAAAGCATACTTTTCGAAAGTTTTTGTCCGAATGTGTGAGTTATTTCTCACACGAATATATAAGTATTTCGAAAATATCTAACCAAGAATTACTTGTTTGTTGGTAAATTATGTTTTTTGGTTGCAAAGTGTCTTAGTAACTCATACTTTCTTCTGGTTTTCTTTCTCTTACCAGTGGCAACATGAGTCAGAAAATAAGAACTGATGTTGGAGATGTAGAATGAAGTTAAGAAAGTGAATCTGCTTGTTTCATTGTGACCAATCCTAAGCTATGTCACTCATGACTTATGCCCATCGTCCCCAGGATTTCATCCTAGAACTCCATATTTCTCGATACTCATTCCGAATAGTCAGTGGCGCTATCTATTGATGACATATTTGAGTCTAACTTTACTCACCACGAAGTACATAAAATAATAGAATATATACAACTCAAGAATGGATGGGAAGGGAATTATGCGAAGTTCATCTCAATTATTTTTGAAATATATTGCACAAAAGTCGTAGCATTTTACTGACAGTGCTTCCCGGTAACAAGTTGGAAAGTTAATAGACGTGCATTTAAACCAACGGGTTTAGCCATACCTTAACACTCAGGCTCGTTCCACCTATTTGGTATAAAGCGAGAAAGTGCATCAGGACCTAATGGGTTAACTCCATAGACTTGTTAGAGGTGTTTCAGTTAGAGAATGTATCCTGACTAAGACAATAGCTAGGAAGATAACCATAGAGGAATCGGTTCGATGCTTAAGGCTCACGTGCAAAAACATTGAGAAAAC